GCCTTGGAAACAGGCTTTGACACACACACACACACCACGCCGAGATCGGCGCTCACGCGAAGTACTAGCCACCTAACAAGCCTTAGAAAGAAAGACAGAAAAAGAAAATACAGAAAGAGCAAACGAAGAGGGCAAGAGAGAAAGATAGGAGTAGTTACGGGGCCCCCTAGTTACGAAGCCTTCTAGTTACGCGAACTACATGCAATAGTTAGCGAGCGGGACTTTAGTCTTAGACCGCCCGGGTAGCTAGAACTAGGACAGGAGACACCAACACACAAGTGTGTTGAGTGCGATTTCCTAGAGGGGAGGATGGGTTAGGGTGGCCCGCAGGCATTGCCGTCGCTGGCATTCAAGTAAAGCCACATTTGGCGCATCTTTGACTGAAACCTAAAGAAACCTGAAGAAAGGCCTCAAGAAAACAAGAAGCAACAACAGGAAGGAAAAAACAAAAGAACCAGAAGAGATTACTTAGTCGTTCACGTTCTGGACTCTCCTTCCGCTCGGCCGTAAAAGGCGGTACAGTTTCACCTGAAACCTGAAAAGCATCGAGCAACCCTTCACCTGAACCTAGAAGCCTCGAGCAAAACTCGAAGTCGTCCGAATGACGCATTCGACCCGTGCAGGTGTCCCGTCCAAGCATGCTCATGTGTGAAATTCCCAACTGGATCTGATCACAGTAAGCCCTGCGGCGTTCAATCAGCAGTCTCGTGCGGTTCCGCCAATCAGTGGGATTGCATAAAGAAGTTCAAGTGCAAGAACGGAACAATCAGAGTGGGTCCCCCAGGATCTGGGTCTATGCACATGCTGCGCCCCTCGGTGGGATCACACCACAGCCCTCAGTGGGACTCTGTGGCGAAACACACTTTGAGAATTGCTCGCAAGAGCTAAGTTCAGAGTGAAGTCCCACTTTAGCGATTACATTGCCCCTTGCATTGTAGACCTTGACTTGCAAAACGGCATGGAGTGCTGAGTCGGAGCAACAGAAGGTTTGAACATGGGTGAAACTCGACGAGGCAATTAAAATTGGCAGGTACGCTGGGATGATCAGTCCCAGTTTCACCAGGAAATCGAGAGTGTCTTCATTGGTGGCAGACTCTCGTTCCTGCTGCCACCCCCTGCCTTTTGTTTTTGCGTTACTAAGATTAGCTTTTGTACAAGACATGTGTGCAGCCTTGGAAACAGGCTTTGACACACACACACACGCAATGTGTGGCTTGATCTCACCCTTCATTTACATATGTGTATATATATATTATTTTATTACTATTACTATTGTTGTTTCAATTTTTAAAATCTCTCTCTCTCTCTCTCTCTCTTTTCCTTTTTTTTCGTGCACACACACATGTGAGTCAACTTTGACCATGACAAGCGACAAACACTCACAGAGAGTTGTTTCGTTTGTATGAGACTCATTTCCGGTGGAACCAGGTCGGTCCACAGTGTGCACCTGCGAAGCGAGACTGGCATTGCTATCCCTGATGAGGCGATTCGGTTGTTTGATATCCATGCTAGACACATGTATGTCCACATACACATGCTTTGCTATTGTATCGGCCAGCAGCAGTCATGGCCTATTTCTTGCTGGGACAACGACAGGACTCGATCGCTGGCTACGTCGGATATGGTGGTCTGATCTATGTAGTAGACGGGTCTGGGAGCCAGCTTGCTTCAGAATCACTTGATTCGATGAATTGGTCACCGGAGCTGCTAAGGTCATCTCCGGGAAAATTGCCAGACAATGGCTTAGACTGAGACGTCAGAAAAACAGTGGAAAAGGATGCTTCCAAGACAGGGAACCATCGCTTCCAGGAAAATGTCGTGTACTTCTGGGGCTCCAATTCTTGGAGCGACCCGAAAGGCTAGGATGTAGTTGAAGACATGAAACGATCTGAAAGGCTGACACACCGAGCACGAAATGTGCAGGTGACACGCCGTCACCGGTCTTGACCCTGCAGCGAAAAAGAATAAGTCAGGACAGGCCCCTTCAACTCTAAGAGTCTGAAAGTCATGCCCAGACGCAATGCTTTGTTTCTTTTTTGAGATCAGCGTGGGCAAAGAACATGCTGTGGCGCTGACGGAAGGTGGCCGAGTTTTTGCCACTTGATTCGAAGATGCTTTGCTTTCTTGCTCGAACGACAACGGGTGGAGAGAGCATCAACTTGAGGCCTGGGGCAAGAATGACTTTGGACAGCTTGGAACAGGTGACGAGGAGCACCACAAGTCATCCAGACACGAGCACTGAAGAGCTTGCGGCAGCTCCAAACATGCAGGAGAATCGGGCACTTCCATCGCACTTGCCTGAGGCAAAAGGTTGCGTTGCATATTTGCTGGTATGTGAAACATTGCGAAACAAGCGCCTCAAATGAGCTTGGATCAGGTATACAGAGCTCCCATACGAGACTTACATTTCACAAATTGCTGCTGGAGGCCCTCCATGTACAAGTGCATAGCTTTCTATTGACTCAGATTCGACTCAGTTTGCTTCCTTCTTGTATGAACAAAGTGGCAGACTTTTCCGCAGGCAACTACACCATCGGTGCCACCAAGCGAGGAGAAGTGTGGAGTTGGGGAAGGTTCCAGGCGTCAAGAGAATCCGTAGGGGAAGCATTTTTCAACGAATTGTTTCGTCGATGCTTTTTCAATGCTTATTTCAGGCCTCCAACTTTCCGAGACTCTTTACGGACACCTGGTGTAGCCCTCGGTACTGAAATGAAAACCGTGCAAGGAGTCTCCATGACTTTCATGACTTCAGGTGTAATGGCTACGAAGCCAAGGGAGAGATGGGCCTAAAGGAGCGAAAGACCTGCGGCCAACTTCGACAACTTCCGCAAGAATCCTTTTGAGATGTCCCAATCACATGGGCAACATGGGCACTTGCGGCGCATGGGCAGGGTCTCAAGATTGTTCGAGTTTGTGCCGGTGACCAACATATGGGTGCGCTGACGAAGGAAGGGAAGGCCAGTTGAAGGTGTTGGTCAAAGAGTTTTTTCTTAAGATTTTGATTCGATGTCACTTCACCCACTACCATCCTTTTACTCTTGCAGCTCTACACATGGGGCTACAATGATTTTGGCCAGCTTGGAGCTGAACTCAGCAGTTGAATGCTTGGCGCACGTCGCTCTGAAAAGCATGCTTTCTCCATGTTTGGCCTGATGTTTAAGGCTGGGGCTTGCATGGTGAAGGCAGAGTTGGACAGCAGAGACCGAATCAGGCAAATCTAAAGTGCTGAAAGATGATCACGCCTTTTTGGGTTCTAGCCTCTTCAGATGGTTTCATCTTCTCAAGGTCAAAGGTTTGCTGGAGAATGAGGAGATCATAGATTTTGCTTGTGCTGCTCCCGGCGGAGAATTCACTATTCGTTCCAGATTGATGAATTACAAGAGCACATTGAGCCGGAATAAAGCGTCAGTTCGAAGAGTATCGTTCATTCGGGGAAGAATTCAGGTGGAGGCGGCCACACTGTGGCTGTCACCAAAAATTGCCGAATTTTTGGCCCAGCCCTGAGACTTTATTCACCAGTGATGTGCATTGAAGTCTTGCAAGTGGCACTGAAGGCTTTGGATCAAACACCAATGGTCAGCGCAGAGCTTTGACTGGAACTCTCGGAACAGTTGTGCTGGTTTGCCTCGTTCGTTGTACCCGGCCTGCTTCGCTCTAGGCTTGGCCATGCGATGCGCCAATGCTTTCCAGAGCCTGTCAGCACCCTAGCATTGTGCGATAAATGAAGGGTTAAACTTCTTGTCCTTTGGCAAGTCACTGCCTCGGCTGTGTGTTGCAAGAAGAGAAATTGAGGTTGAGATTCCATTGGGCGATCCAGTGTCAAAGGTGCGTGCTGGCTGGCAGTGTACAGCAAAAGCCTAAGATGTTGTGGCAACAGTGAGCAAGAACTCGAACCTCTTCTGTCGGTCATGGCTATTCTCAATTTTTTTAAACTTTGCCTGAGGCATACATCACTGAGAGTGCCCGCCCTATCATTTGTGGTGGCATCCGAGCCGAGGTTCCAAAGAGAGTTTGTACAAGAAAGAGATGGAGAGAGACGTCTAGAAAGTCTCGCTTGATTGTGACAGGGGCCCAGTGTCGCTGACATGCAAGTCGCCTACCCAGCTGAGAGATGCCGAGCTTGTGCGCAAACGCTTCGGTCGGCCCAGTAGATGGTCATTGTACAGAGTGGCTCACTGTCCAGGCTGGTGAGGATGGTGAGGGACCTGCGCCGGAGATGTCCAGAGGAGGCTATGGCGGCGGCAAAAACCTCAGTTTTTATTGACAAAGTCAAAGGTGACTGCCTTCAGATCCCTTGAGTGCTTTATGCTCTCCTCACTGTTCACAGTGTGCTGCTTCCCAAAGTGTTTCATTCTCAAGGCCCTCAACCAGAGGCTCCTTGGCATGCAATCAATACATGTCAATACCTTCCACCTGAATAAAGTGGATTTGCTATATACTCTTTCCAAGGGATTCTTGGCCGCTGAGGCTGGTGTGATGGACATGGTCAGCACCACTGGTGTCGAAGTGATGACCGAAGTGGTCACCGAAGCGTCAGTGGGCGAGGCTGATTGTTGATCACATTGACGTCAGAATGGTGTCCACAGCCCGAATGCGGTTGCTACAAGGCACACGGAATTTTGGTGTGCTACGTCAGACGCTTAAGCTATGCTTGGGGAGAGACTCAAAATGGAACGTTTTGGTGTCTGAGGATGGTACCTTGCGTGGCTGGGGGCCGTTTGCCAAGAGGGTTCTCGGGGTCGCTGCATTGCCATTGAACCCTGGTACATGGTGCCAAACTTCCTGAGGTACAACCGGCAAAAGCAAGCAATAGGGGACGAGACGGACGACACCTTTGTGAAGCCACAGGCGGTAGATGACATACCATTTGTCTGAGGCCAAGAGAGTATCATGTGTTCGCACATGATCCTGTGTGTCATGCCAACTTCACGTGATCTAAATAACTTGCATCAATCTTAAGTTGAGGACGCCTACAAGGGCTGTCGGTTGCAGTTGGTGGTGCTCAGAGCTATGCCATCATGCAACCACGTCATCCATAGGGGTGTGATGCTTGATCCTTAACTCTCACTTCAGAGCACAGTACAGTCAGTCTAACTATAGCAAAACAGATCCATATTTCACTCACTGCTGACGGAGGTGTTTTGCACAGTGATCCCTGGAAATAACAGCTGCAAGTAGAAGCACTCGCTGAAATGAGCGTGAGTGCATGTCTGTGTATGTGTTCTCGAATTTGTGCAGATGGTAGACTGCAATGCTCTTGCGCTTGCTCATTTGGTTGAGAAACATGCCCTGAAATTCAAGAGAACCGAGGAGCTTTGCAGTCCAGGATTCGCGACCAGACACAGTCTCCCTCACAAACCTCGATCATCGTGCATCTGAAAACTAGAGCTGTGCGGCTTCAGATCTTAGGTTGCTTTCCTTACCTGAAGCCAGCCCATGGGCACTTTCGCTCTGGGGCTGACAGATTCGAGAACATGCAGTGTGCGCATCAAGTGTAAGCATGATAGGATCATGGTTGGATCACCGCTGAATTGCTAGTCAGCTAGTCATGGTTGTGCTCACTTCTCACTTGCAATTCTTTTCGTCGTGGGTTCACCCATCAAAGAGGCTTTCACAGCTTTGAGATGGGACAAAGGAGGGACGTTGTCGAAAGGACACTGTAATGGTCGATTCTCACATGTATGTTAGCAATGCAAATCGTTTCAGAACAGAAGATCGAGTGGCGCACTCGTCAACCACAACTGATTGTCAATACTGCAAAACCTGCAAAAAGACAACATGAACCAGTTTGTTTGACTTTCCAACATGTTCCCCATGTCAATGTCTTCAAACACAACAGCGATCAGCGTCACACTATGTCACACTCATTATATGTTTGCAGGGACAAAACAACAGAAAACTCGCTTTTGAAAAGTGCTTAGTCATTTGCATAAGCAAACCGTGTCACAATGACCAGCGTTGTCACTTTGTTATGAATAGACATTCAATTTCCTTAATATTCCAAACACGCTGGGCTTGTACAGCCCAGCGTGTTCGGCCGGAGGGGTGGGTCCCTTCGTAGAGCTTCTGAGCTCGTAGTGCAAATCCCATTGGACGCCAGCTGTACTAATGCAGGCCTTTTAGGAAAGTGAGCCTATGACCAGAATGCAACTCACCGCAGGCTTTTTTCTCTTTGGCATGGGCTTTCGTCATGATCCTATTGTAGAAGCATTCTGACACAAAGCAGGAAGAGTTGTAAACGAGACACGGCACTCGTCACTCGTCTTCTTGAGTCAATCCCCCACCGCCAAACAAAGACCCCACCATCCAGACAATCAAAACTGGATAACTTGGCGCAACAAGAAAACAAACTAAATGACACATTTCAATTACGCTGGTTCCAGGTTGTGTTTGCACGCACACATTGAATGAACACACCATCATCAAAGCCATACAAACCAAACTGAAGCCACAACCGGAGCGCTGTTTTCATCTGTGGGGTTCACGCTGTTCCGATCACATTCGTGTGTTGATGTGTTGCCGAGAAAGGGCTGGGCATGCCACGTGCTGTTGTGGCGTTTGCGTGACGTGCGTGATGAGAATATGCAGGCAAAAGACCATTGCTGGAATAAATACAGGGGTAGGTATTTGTGTCAGGAAAGATCAACCATTGCAGATTCCATTAAAGCAGACATGTTTTGATGGCCTCTTCTCTTCACAATAAAGTTGTTTCTTGTTCAGTTGCTTCAGCAGAACCTTTGGATGGAGGAATTTGCCTGGCACATGACATACAGATGTGAGTGACTACATTTCCCTTGTTGCTTCAGACATTGTCATTCTCTCCGCAGCCATGATTTCATGAAGTAGTTGTGCAGTTCGCAGTTTTGTTGGGAGTGTGCTGTGATTTGCGCGTCCAGGACTCCACTTGCTTTGAGTTCATTGCCACAGCAAATTATGCTTTCACTGCCTTTGTTGCTCCTGCCAGGTAAAGGCTTCCAGTTTTAGCGGCAAGGCTGGCTGGTTCACCCTGCAACGAAAAACTGGTCTCTTCTTGCAGCATTTTTATTTGTTGAAGGTGAAGTATGCAGCCATTGGCTTACTTTGCAGTGAGGAGGCAAAACTGCAACCTGTTGTGAAGTGAAGCTGTACCTTCCATGAAGTCTTGCAAGCGAAGCCCCGCTGCTGGCAGTTTGCTTGGTTGGCTACAGTGGGTGGAAAAGGCGGAGCATGCCTTTATCAGCAATGCCTTGTTGCTTGCCATGAGCTCAGTAATCTGAAGAGGCTATTTGTGAAACAGATTAGCTGCTGGTCGTTCAAGACAGGTGGCAGCTGGAGCGGCCCATTGTTGGGCAGTTGGGTCCTTTGCATTTTGCTCATTGTTTTTGGAAGCGAGGACAGGCGATTTCTGTTCTGCAAGACCTAATTTCCTCCATTGCCACATATCCAGGTGGTATATGCGCTTTTCATTGCCATCCATACTCGCGCGATGAGGTTTGAAGGCGCTTGACTTGGTTGCTCTTTTTGATTGGCTTTCCCAAACTCGAGTTGACATCGGTGGGTTTGTCAGAATTCCGTTGCAAGGATACCACGAAGGTTACACAGAACATTTGCCATTCTGGGTATCTTGGACCGAAAATTTGGCAGCCAGGAACTCAGCGAAGAAAGCAAAGAGCAAGAGCTCGCTGGAGAAAACACTCAAACAAGGGCCATGACCAAAAAGTCAACGATGCTTTGGTTTTGGTTGGATAATACTTCCTCAATGCAAAGTATACAATCCCGTTTCGGCTAGCAACTCACGTCAGGTAGCCTCTATGGGCATTTGGTGGGCGGCTGGGTTCTCAACAGCTGCCATCCGCATCATTGATGATGATGCAAGAGGCAGGCGTCGATATGAACTTACGGACACTTTTAGCAGTGCTTCTGCAGTATGTTTCTTCGAGAAACACACACACACACCACTGCATTTACCTTTCAAGGCTTGCCAATGGATGGTGGAGATGTTCAAATCAACAAGTTTATTCGCATCCTTCGGTCAGAGAGGCGTGTGCTCTTTGTCTCAGCAGCACGGTTGGTTTCAATTGTTTTATTCTTGTTCAACTAAATCCTCAATGGGTGCAGGCTGCACGATGGCCTTGCTCTGGCGCATACTCTCAGTTGCATTGGGCTCTTCATCAGGCCTGGTACCTTTGGATCGCTATGTCTTTGCCCTGTTTTTGATGGTGTTTCGACATCACTTGTCCATTTGCGCTCAGTATCATCCTCCTGTGCATTGCCATGGGCTTGATGAAGGACTGCTCCACATGCGCCGAAACTGATCTTTATTGATTGGATCAAATGTTTCCTTTGATCAATGACTCCAAGTGTTTTCTCTTTTCTGCAGCCGATTGTGTTGTACAGTCTCGTTTTGTTTGTCCAGCCGGAATTGGTCTCAAGGGCTCAGTCACGGCCTGCGAACTTTGTCTTTGCTTCGTGGTGCAGCCCTTGGCAGCAAGCTTTTCCCCAAATTAGATCTGCTATAATACTATATACAGACATGTAGCTGATATGTAATTATATATATACACAAACTACAAGATACAAATATATACCATTGTTTTTCAACGGACATATATGGGGTCAGGCCGTGGAAGGGCGGCCGCTACTAAAGAACCCTTCGCATGATTGATTTGGTTCCTAGTTTGTTGGAAACTGAAACAGTTGCCAAAAATACCTCCAAGAACATTCCAACATGCTTGTCTCAACAGGAATGCCTTTGGAATGCATGCGTTTGTAAGGCTCTGGGCTTCGCTGCACCTCACGCTTTGGTGGCGGCACGACGTCGGTTCCTCAATCTGCAGTTTGAGTATGTGAAGAGCTTGCGAGGAACTCGGTTCCTTTCCTGATCACCTTTGCGTTTTCAAAATATTTGCCAAGAAATCGTTCGCTTTTGGTGCATCCTGTAGTTCCATTTGCATCTCTGAAGGGTATTGAAGGGACTCTTTTCTTTTGGCCAGTCAAGTATGATTGATTCCGTCATATTCGGTTTCAGACCTTTATGATCCTTTATGTTTGTCTGGTTTTCTGGGCTGGATCTTCCCACGCCTGCTTGTCTTGCGAGGTCTTGACTTCTCCCCACCCAAAAAGACAGAGGCAAGCTGTGTGTGTTAGCTTCCACCGAATGATCTATCAAATCTTTGACGAAAGGATGCGCCGGTTGCATCAGCAGCAGCAGAAGCAGCTGCGCAAGAGGCATTCTCTCACCGTCTTACAGCCAACTACCTTCTTAGCGGCCTACCCCTCCCAAAAGAAAAGAAACAAGTTGTCAGCGAAGTCCTGTGATCGAGCTTTGCAAGTCTTGGGGTCTAGTGAGCTGGAGCGAGGGCCTAAACAGGACAGGGAAAATGGAAGGTAAGGCTCCCTTTAATAAGCGGCCTTACCCTCGTTTTCCTCCCCAGCCTTCATTTTTCTTTGCATATTTCTAATGAGCTTGTGTTCTAGGCAGCATCTCTGGGACCTCAGCTTTGTGTGATCCTTGCACTTGCTGACTCTCCCGGGCATGCGTGCCCTATTGTTTTACATTTTGATTGGTCCTGAGTCCTAGGCATGGTCAGATTGCCCTTTTTGCCGCGACTTTTGAGGTACTGTTACTACTAGTAAGGCACCTGTTTCTACTAGCTTCTTGTTACTACTAGTAAGGCACCTGTTCCTAG